CCACTGTCATTGAGATGCTAAGCGCTTTCATTCCAGCTGCGCCCTCAGTCTGGGGGCTGCGGGCTAAAGCTGCTAAAGGTCCAGGACCCGTTAAACTACAACAACAGAACCTTTAAACTGCACTTCTCCCCAGGATGGAGGAGGAGGAGCGTGGCTGCGGACTCAGTGGTCCCAATCACACATAAGCGCGCGCACGCGCGCGCGCGCGCGCACACACACACACACACACACACACACACACACACACACAAACACACTTGCCCTATCCCCTACACTAGCATGGGCAAGAAATATGAAGACTTTCTCCTGACCCCTGGAGCCTAGTCTGCAAGACAGGAAAAGCCAGTAAGAGATTGGCTAACGCTAGAATGTCACATGTTCTCATAGTCAACTTTGACGCCTTCAGGATTGATACTGAGAGATAAGCTGAGGAAATTCTAGCTCTAAAATTCGAATAATTTGTAAATTATCTCATAGGAAGATTTGCTGGGGGGTGGAGAGGGGATTATTGTGGTAAAATGTAATTCACCATTATCATTTTAAGTGTATAGTTCAGTGTCAGTAAGTATGTTTACTGCGTTGGGTGCTTATTTTTTAATCATTAGTAAAAATGTCAAGGAGATCTAAGTATAGCAAGAAAGACCCTAGTAATAGGCAAACTACTGCAGGAAATGAAGGCTGTTTCTTTGGCTGCAACACCCCATCCTGTACGACTACCCACAAACCAGATTGACTTTTCCAGAAATGACTTCATAAACACAGTGAGTGTTTAGCAACCATACACACCCAGCTAGTGTCCACAGGCCATCTGGGGAGAGTAATCCATCGTGCCTAGATAAAAAACAAAATTTTTCTCAACTGATTCTCCAACTGTTTATATATACAGACTTTATGTATCAAAATTAAAAATGGCCACATTGTTTTTTAAAAAAAATAAATGCAGCTCAGCTGGAGTGGCTCAGTGATTGAGCGCCAACCTATGAACCAGGAGGTCATGGTGCGATTTCCAGGGGGGACATGCCCAGGTTGCTGGCTCAATCCCCAGTGGGGCGTGTAGGAGGCAACCGATCAATGATTCTCTCTCATCATTGATGTTTCTATCTCTCCCTCTCCGTTCCTCTCTAAAATCAATGAAAACATATTTTTTAAAAATAAAAATAAATAAATGCTGTTGAAATCTACTCTCCCACCCTTTTTCTGTCTTTAGCCACTTCACAGTCCACACGCTTTAACTAGGACCACAAATGGGCTTGCCTTTCCAACCTGACCTCCCATCAGTCTCTTAGACATTGAACAGAACAGTCACATTTACTTATGGAGCTGCGTCCATGCCAGTCACTTACCTGCCTTTGTGAGTTAGATCCATCTGCAGCAAAAGGCTCTCTCCCCCATCCCTGCATTTTCAAATCCCATCTATCTTCCTGGATGATGCCTATAAACTCCTGCGCTGTAGGAAGGATACATGTCTTGGAGTTTTCAAATTTTATCTTTCATTGTTTTATGCCATTTTGTATGTTAGTATAAAAATCTGAAATATTAACTGAGCCCCCCCACCCGATAGCTCTGCATGCACACACATACACATTCCCATGTCCTCTGCCCCTAGTCTTTTCCTCCCAGAGAGCTAGGGCATGTCCTCCCCTGCCTCGGGGAGAAAGGAGAATGCAGTTCTCAAAGGTTTGTTTAGTAGACATATGGAGCTCATGGCAGTGACAGCAGTTCGTAAGTCAGACATTTTGGTTTGGGATAGCTGACTTCATGAGTTTGGCTCCTAAAGAGCCGAAAGAAAAAAGCAATTAGACCACAAACAATGTATTAGTTCATTTTGCTGTAAAAGCAAACAACTCTAAAATCTCAATGGCTTATGGCCATGAAGGTTTATTTCTTGCTTGGATCTCATGCTATGGGGCAGCTCATGGGTCTTCTTATTCCAGGTCCAAGACTGAAGAAGCAGACGCTATATGTGACTTGACAATTCTCATGGCAGATGGGAAGAGCCAGAGAACTGTGGGAAATGTGAGGACTGCAAGATGCTTCTCCAATGTGTCATGGCATGCCCACTCAAATCCCATTCACCAAAGCCTTTCATATGTCAAACCCCAAGTCAGTGGAGAACTCTACTGCCTCTGTCGTCAAATCACATGGCAGTGAGCTTGGATTATAATGTTTCTTATAGGGTGGTGATGGTGGTGGTGGGGTTAATTGTAAAAAAATAATGTAATCTGCCACAAACACAGGGGAACCAATTTTCTCACTCTAGAGGTATTGGCATGTATCCCCAAGAAGAGCCTTGTACCTCCCCCATCTCCAGTCCCTGGGATTAGCTTCTTTTGAAAAACCTATGGAGATAGAAATTTTAGAACCCCATATGTGTTTTAAGATCTGAAGACAGAGTCCAGCTAAGGAGGCTTAGTGGTTGAGCATTGACCCATGCACCAAGAGGTCAAGGTTTGATTCTTGGTCAGGGCACATGCCCGGGTTTCGGGCTCCATCCGCAGTAGGGGATGTACAGAAGGCAACTGATTGATGTTTCTCTCTCATCAATGTTTCTATCTCTCTCTCCCTCTCCCTGCCTCTCTAAAAATCAATAAAAATAAAAGATCTGAAGACAGAGATCTAAGCTCTATCCCTAGGGTGACTAGGGAATCAGAAAAGCAACTAAGGTCCTAAGGTTTCTCTCTAATAAGCTAACAGAGAATAGAATCTATATATATAAAAGCCTAAGCGACCGTTACGACCGGACGACCAGCTGGTAGCTATGACACACACTGACCACCAGGGAGCAGATGCTCAACGCAGGAGCTGCCCCCGGTGGTCAGTGCGCTTTCACAGCCAACCTCCCGCAGCTGGCCAACCTCCCGCGGTCCCTTCCCCCTGCTGGCCGGCCAACCATTACCAGCCAGGCCAAGGGACCCCACCCGTGCATGAATTTGTGCACTGGGCCTCTAGTGTTTACATAAAATATTTGGGCATGAAGAGCCAGAGGAATATGCCCAAACCTGTCCAAGATTTAGTATTTATGGCATTAAAGACCATTCAAAGGGGCTGAGAGAGGACTATAGAGGGTTGAAAGGCCTAGACATGAGAATAAGGAAGGACAGAGCTGAGTACATAGGTCAGTGATCCAAACACAATGGAAAATTGAATGTTAACTTCCAAGGCCAAAGCCAAGGGTTTTTGCATCTGAGAACTGGATATCTCCCTGCACCTGCCTCCCCACCTCACCCTACCCTAACCCCACCCTAAAGGATTTAGAAGATACCCTCTAAAGAACAGGGGAGTCATGATAAAGTGATTATGTTTAAACCAGAATTGATTTGGGGACAGGAGAGATTTGTGGGTAACAGAAGTGCATGTGGAATTGGCTAAATTAAATTTTCTGTCCTTAGGAAAAATAGGATCTCCACATTCAGACTTATTTCAGTTATTTTTTAAAATATTTTATGACTTGATATGGCATATATTACTAATATATTTGTACCAAATAAATGGATGAATGAATAAATGAATGAATGAGGTATTTCTGTTTCCTCCCCCTTTATAGTGGGGATTATAGTGCCTGACAGTTGTACTTCATGGAAATGTTGTCTCTTTGGTATAACTATTATGTGGGAAACTGTGAATTTATCAGGAGGAAACTCTCATGTTAAAACAAACATAAAACAAACATAATTATTTCTTATTCTGCTAGATCCCATACTGAGAAAATCAACATTTTGTATTAGATTATTTATTTACTAAGATGATAGTTCTAACACATTTTTGGTGGCATGCTTGAGCCTTTGGGTAATCTGGACCAGACATCTTTATGCTGTCCCCAACATCAGATAAAAAAGGAAGTACTCATCCATCTCCATAGACTGATACAATTTGCCAGGTCAGATCCCCTCTGGAATGTAAATTTCCATCATCCTTTGAGACACTATATTCTTTACTCTTATACACAGGCCATGACACATTACATCTTCCAGATCTACTTCTTTCTTTAAATAATCATTGTAGCGTGGCTGGAAAGAAAATACTATAAAAATTTAATACTGTAAATTGTCTCTCTCTCTCTGCTCTTCAACACAATCCTTCTTTTACAATCAAAGCAATACAATACAACAAAAATCTCAAATTAAGCAAAATAACCTCTCAGGCATTTTAGTAGCATTCTAACACTTTTTAACTTAAAAATAAAACATAGAGGAATAGTAGAAAGAGTGGCATGATTTTCCTGAGTCCCCTGATTTAAAAAAGTAGACAAAGTTGCTAGCAAAACCAAAAGTCTATAGACAGCTACTCCAATGAAGTACCCCCCACACTCCAAGCTATAATTGATGATAGAGATAATCCATCAAGAGCTACAAGAGTTGTGTAGCATCAGCAAGAAAAAGCAGAGGGAAAACACAACAGGGCTTCGGACAGACTGAGAAATACCCAACTAGCTGGCAGGGACTCAGTGGAAGGCTCGGTGGACCAATTTGAGAACAGAAGCGGAAACCGAGAGGAGCTTTGCACATTCCAAGAACAGATGCATGCATGGGTATGTGGTGAGTTCTGACGAGACTAGAACAGTTAACGGCCCATAAACTCTTGGAACTAACTAATCCTAACTCCATCCCCCAAAATAGAGTCTACATGCTATGAGTTAGAGAAGTAAGAAAGAGAAGATCGAGAATAGAAGAGAGCAAGGAGCCAGGAGATCTCAGAAAGTAAGCCACCACCTGGTGAGCACTACATGAGAACAAGACAAGAGCGAACTCTAGAGTCTGAAGTTTGAAAGGTGTCCTAAACCACCCATCCTCCAGCTTCTAATCAAACCTGTAGATTGAAAGAAAAATGGAGGCAGAGAAACATGTTAAACTACACTTCGAGGATGCACTCAACAAAATCCAGGCTAGAGGACAAATTACCTCATTTCTCCAACAATTAAATTACACAGCAAAAGTGGGCAGGGGGTGAAGGGGGAGTTTTTTTAAGTCTTTAATATGCAGATTGACATTTCTCTCCAGGAGGAAGAAATCTCTGCAGAACAAGGAATATCCAGGGCTGGATACTCCAGCTCAACCCGTCAGGTAGAGAGCAAATCCTCCCTTTCTCCACAATTTTGTTCTCTTCAGTTCTCAACGGGTTGGATGAGGTTCACCCACACTGGGGAAGGCAATCTGCTTTACTCTGCCAATAATCAAATGCAATTCTCTTCTAGAAACACCCTCACAGACACCTGAAATAATGTCTAACCAGATATGTGAGCATCTTGTGATCCAGCCAAGTTAACACATAAAATAAACAATCACACCATGTAAAATAATGAATGCTGTTTTAAGCTGCTAAATTTTGGGTAATCTGTTATGCAAAGATAACTAATATAAGCCTCCCCTTTTAAACTAGATAGATGATAGATAGATAGATAGATGATAGATAACTTGAATAAAAATAAAAATATATATCTCCTTACTCTTTTTTTTTTTTTTTAGTTTTTGCCTCTTCTTTGCTGTTTATACTTCCTGATTAACTTTAGGATCACACTGTCAAATTCCCCAAGAAAAACTCCCATTGGGATTTTAATTTGAATTGCATCAAACCTATAAGCTAATTTACAGAGAAGTTAAAGTTGTACAATGTTCTCTTTTCAGCCACTCTACAATGATTCAAGACTTTTATGTTCTCCACTGAGATTTCATGATTATATTCATCACAGGTACAATATTTGATATATTATTAAAATAGGTAAATTATGCTTTAGTGAGTGAAAACTATTTTCTTTTAAATAATTATTGCTGCTATATAGAAAAATTGTCCTAGTCTTATATTATATTCAAGCATTTAAAATAACTTTACTATCTGCTTGTACTATTACTAAAATGTACTCTTCCTTGTGGGCTGAATTCTCAACACACAAGAGGGAAATGAATATGTTTAAGATGATGGCAATCATATATTCCTTTTCTGTAACCTGCAATTGTCAGATTACCCAATTTACTTCTTAATATCTGCAAACAATGGAAATAATTAGCTATTTCCCTGAAAATTCCATATTCCTTTCCTGACCTAAAATCCTTTTCCCTCTCATAACCTACACAACTTTTCTCCCAATTCTAAAAGATACTGAAGTTTTGTTGTTGTTGTTGTTTTAATAATATGTCTCCCTCATGCAGACCAGTTAGCTTCCAACTGTTTCTTTGCCGTTGGCATCACTAACATGAATTCCATTTTCACGACCACTATAGCAAAGAAGGCCAAACCGTACTTTTTCCTGACTCTTCCCCCTTGCGGTCACTATTCTATTTGGGAGAAATATCTATTCGTTATGCATCTATATGTTCTTCTCTGCACCATTTTGAGTATGTGTCCATCAGTGTTATCCAATAATGGGAAGAATGATACATTTATTTAATGTTGGAAAGGAAGTATACTCACTTGTAATAAGAGCCTACTGTGTCAAACATTGCACCAGTGGCTTTTGTACCCTATCCTATATAATAAAAGCTTAGTATGCTAGGTGTCTGACCATTTGACTATTTGATCAGTTGCTATGATCACACTGACCACCAGGGGGCAGACGCTCCGACCTGTAGGTTAGCTTGCTGCTGGGGTCCGGCCGATCAGGACTGGGCAAGACAGGCTGGACATGCCCTGGAGCCCTCCCACAGTCCCTCCCCAGCCCGATCGTGCACCAGTGGGGTCCCTCCACCTGGCCTGTGCCCTCTTGCAATCTGGAGCCGCTCAGGAAATGTCCACAGGCCAGGCCGAGGGACCCCACTGGTGCACGAATTCATGCACTGGGCCTCTAGTCTTATATAATCCTCACAACAACTCCAATGAGGTATATTAATGTATCCATTTTACAGATGAAAAAAATAATTATGAAACTTTATAGTTTAAAGTTATTCAGTTTAGGTCTCTCTGACCCCACGGCCTAGGTTTCCCCTCGGTCAGACTCTGTGTGCACAGATCACCTGGGCATCTCGCTAAAATGCAGATACTGTCTGAAATCAGGGCTGAGATGCTGCACTTCTAACAAGTCCCCAGAAGACGCCAGAACTGCTAGTCTCTATGCCACTTTAAGTAACAAAGCAGATCACAAGATATTTAAGACACGTGACTTGTCAAAAGGAATACAGGCTTTGGAATTTGATCATCTGAATTCAAATTTGAATGCAGATACTTACTAGCTTTTTAACCCAGCATGGATACTTTCTGAACCTTGGTTCCGTAGTCTGAAATATGGAGAAAATAAGACCAGCTTAATATAATTGTTAGGATAAAAAAGAATACATGTCTAGTACCTGACACATGTTAGAGGCTCAGTATTGATTGGCCTTTCCTTGGGAACTTAGAATATTACTCTAAATCTTATAGTCGTTCAATATGTATATTTCTTTGGTGGCAATAACAGAAAGACAACTAAAAGTGATTTGGACAGAAGGCATGGAAGCATCTTAGCGATTGCCTAGTCGTCCAACTTTTGGGAAAGGCAGCTGGGCTCCTAAAACCAAGAACTTTAGATGCTACCCACAATTTCTCTCTCTCTCTCTCTCTCTCTCTCTCTCTCTCTCTCTCTCCCTCCCTCCCTCCCTCTCTCTCTAGAGCAAATGGACTTCATTCTGTTCCACTGCAGTCTTGTTTCTCACAAGTAGTGAGTCTTGGGTGCCAATAGTCTCCAAGCTTTGCAAGTTAAGATTTCCACCATCACCAAAGACTGAATCTCGGGCTCTATCTTTCTATACCAACTTTTAAAATCCTTGAGACACAATTTACTTGGACAATAGCAGCCAGATGTCCTCCCCTGGGTCTATTACAGTGATGGCGAACCTTTTGAGCTCAGTGTGTCAGCATTTTGAAAAACCCTAACTTAACTCTGGTGCCGTGTCACATATAGAAATTTTTTGATATTTGCAACCATAGTAAAACAAAGACTTATATTTTTGATATTTATTTTATATATTTAAATGCCATTTAACAAAGAAAAATCAACCAAAAAAATGAGTTCACGTGTCACCTCTGACACGCGTGTTATAGGTTCGCCATCACTGATCTATTACCTTTGGTCAGAGAGGAAGGGACTCAGAGAAGGGGGTATTGCTGTGAAGGACTAGGTGCTTCAGTGGGTCAGTTGGTGACTACTACAATGTAAGGGAAGAACTGGGCCAGGAGTCAAGAAACCTAGATGGTTGTCCTGATTGTGGCACTCATTTCCTAAGTGACTGTGGATAAGTAACTTAATATCTTTGGCCATCACCTTCATCTACATAATAAGATTAGATGATACCTGAGGTCATACCCAAATATAAACTATTATGAACCTATAAATATATGATTAAAGTGTAGAATATCTTCAAGTTTAAATGTTAGATTTTTTTTAAAAAAATTCATCAACTGGAATCGTCTTCTATTAGTACTTTCCAAGCTATTGAAGATTGGACTATTCCAGGGTTAGTGCTCTTTAACATCAGTTAGTGTGGCTTGCCAGTTGCTTGCCCTTAGAGTTGATGAAACTATTTGTGATTTGTTATAATCTCTCCCTGGACTTTACTGTCAATTTTTTTTCCTTTTAACAATTCAGCCCTCCCTCTGTTTAACAAAACATGGGCTTGGAAAACAACAACCACACATAATAACAAATATCGTTGGTTGCCAATTTTCAGCTGCAAAGGTATAAATAGAAAAAGTCCTGCTGACTAGCTTCCAAGAGGTTGCTGTTACTTTAAGGGAATCTATTGCCTCATTCATGGGTTCATTCATTTGACCAATATCAACTGAAGTCTGGTATGTTTCAGACACTGGTCAAAGTGTTGGGGATACAGTAGAGAAAAGACAAACTATATCGCTGAGTTCTGGGTGCTTGTGTCCTAAGTAAAAAAAAAATAAATAAATAATAAATGTCTAATAAAGACATGGATAAAATACAAAAATTCTGGCATGCCCAATCTCTCCCTCCCTCTACCATTAGCCATGGTAATTCAGGCATTTCAACTTCATTGGTCATGGGCCATTGCCTTCTTCAAGCTTCTAAAAGTCACACTAACAATGAGTTTGGGTCCTTGTCAGAATGTGAAATCTCAGATCCCAAGAGAATAATCCAAAGTCCATCATTTCTTTCTTATCAAGTCTTAAATTTTATCCACTTTGATCAAGAGCCTTTCCTGCCATGAACACAGACAATAGTGCAATGAAGGCCTGGGGGTGGGGAGTAGAGGGCGAATGGGGAAGTAGGGGAGAGGGAGTCAATGGGGGAAAGAGGGGACATCTGTAATACTTTCAATAATAAAGTTAATTTAAATTAAAAAAAGAACCTTCCCTGTCTCCTGCTAGTACATGCAGCTCCTTTGGGGTATGGTCTCTTCCTTCTTATGCCAAGTCCAGCATGTCCTTGATGGAGTATACCGTGACTTTCTCTTAGTTACTGGCCGGGGAGCCAGGAGAGAAAGCAAGGGCAGATCCCAAGGGAGCCTCCGGTGCCCTGCAGGGGAGAGCCCTGTGTAGTGTTCTCCCGCTGGGAAATAGGGGAATAGGAGCCGGGGGTGCCAGCTGTGACAGGGAGGGCCACCTCTGCAGGCTGAGGATTCAGAGAAGTCTGGGGATTCAAAATCTTCGGAGTTATCCATACAAATGTCTTCATCCCATGTGTGAGAGACCCAAGTTCCCCATAGCCCTGACGTTGGCATAGCAGTCCTGCCTTAGTTGAAGTCAATTTTCTTTGAAGCTCAATGACTCAACCTATTAAGTCCTGAGTATGGTTTTCAGCAATTTCTGCTCTCTCATTGCAGGAAATAAAGACCTTTTGTAGTTACCAAAGGGGTCCTATGACCTTCACACTTGGTTTTCAAGTGTTTGTGAAATGCCCTCCACATTTAATTATCCCTCTGTAGAGTATGGATGCAACTTAATACCAGCTAGTCAATGTCATGTCCTTGTATGCATTGTCTGCCCACCACCACCTTGGGAATTTTCAAAAGCCTTGAATTACTGTACCAGCCAAGGTATTCCTCTCTACCAGAACACTTTCCTCACTGGGGACAGTGTTCATGACTTGGCTGCTGTCTTGTACTAGAAACTGCCTTTGCCTCACCTACCACCTGGGGCAGGGCTGCCATTGCCAGACAAATGGTGAATGACCCAGTCCCCAATCTTCAGTGCTGGCGCCCGACTGCATCACTTCAGGTCCCTGAGTAAGCAGACACTAAGGTGGTATTAGGAGAGCAAGAGGTTCATTGGAGGGTGATGTCTACGAAAATCAGAGGCAATGAAGCAAAATTGGGCAGAAGAAGCCTTCAAACAACAATGCAGTTCTGACAGTCTGGCCAACCCAATGGAGAGCTCCAGAATATAAACTGCCTATTAGGACTCTCCCATCCTACTTTATGGTTGTTTGAATATAGAAACCATCTTTTAAATTAGTTATTGGCAGGGGGAAATGAGTAAAAGTATGTCTTGTGGTAAATGGACAAAATGCTATAGCAGAGAACACACCAATTTTGCAAAATTGGATTGAGACGAGTTCCTATCAAACATGTTTTCAATTTCTTGCCAATTTTCTCTTTTCCCTTGAGGTAACAATATTTTGGAAACCCCAGATTTCCATACATATGTGGACATAGATGACAATAAGAGTGGGGTTTTTTGGGGTTTTTTTTGTTGTTTCGTTTTTACTATATTACAAGCTAAGACTAGAAATCATCGAGAATCAGAATGTGGCTACAAAGATAATAGGGTGCAACCAGATATTCAAGGCTCATGTCAGACATTCTGTGAGAACAACTCACTAGTGCAATAAGAAAGACTAACAGGCTCCTTAATACAGGGTCAGTATATTTTGCAATTTTGGGGTTACTTGTTGAAAGACATTTTCAATGAAGAAAGTGAGATTTTACCAATAAAGCTATAATTTTTTATCACATGTAAATTTAAAAATCCAATGATTCATGATCCTCAAGCTCTTTCTTCACCTTCAAAATTTATTTTTCATTGAAGCAATGCTATTGTTTTCAGTAAAAACATTCACAATTTATCATTTTCAACATCACTTAAACATACAAATTAAAGAGACAATTTTTTTTCAGATGAAATGCTCTCAATAAAAAATGCAGTACTGGCTACAAATTCAGGAGATAAGCACAAACAACTCCCCTCCCCCCACCCTGCTCTACATGTGATAGACTTCACCCCATTCATTAATTCTTTTCAGTTGCTATTCCATTCAGTAAAATTCACACACCTTGTTGAAAATACTTTTGTTTGTACTTTGCAAATAAATATGACTTCACAAATATTCTCAACATAAATAATAGTAAACAAAAATAAGTGAAAAGCTAGATCAATATTTGTTATATTTGTTTGAATACATGTTTTGAGCATATGAAAATGTATCCTTTGATGGTATAGTTCAAAAAAATCAATTGTTTCATCTTAGATACAAATTTTTGAAGCAAAACATATTTTGGCCAAATTTACAGTACCAAATATTCACCAAATATTCTCCTATTTAGTAGCTTCATTGTCCACAGAATTCTAAAACTGATTTTAAAGGCAGCCTTAATTATTCATCTTTGTGCACATTTTTTAGTGATTTTTCTTTATAATTTGTGTGGTTGGTTTTTTAAAGCCACTGAAAGATGGGTATTTTTAATGTAGTTACTCCGAGTTCATCCTCCTAAGTCATGCTAAAGTTTAAGCTATTTTGCACCCCCATAATCATAAGACTCATGCTTAGAAAAGCATCCATTTACTTTTTTAAAACCAATTTTATGCTTTCCACTCCAGCTCCAGGAGGCTGGCCCGAGCCAGGCGAGGCAAAGAAGCAAGCATTCCGCCAGGCTGTTCACACTGCTCGCTCTCAGCAGCCACCACCCTGGGACTGGGGGACTCCGGCAGGGCTGAGAGGACTGGGTGCCCCCATCTTGTGGCTATGGGCGCTGCCATCTTTGTGACAGAATGATGGTTAATTTGCATATTGTCCTTTTATTAGATAGGATGGTAAGGGAGGTGGCAGGGCAATGCACAAATCTCAAGGCAGAGGAATGTTTGAGGAGGAAAAACATACATGTTTTCTATATACCCTTTGTTTTCATAATACTAATTACAGAAGGGAAAGCTCAAACAACTTGTATCTCAGGGCCTTCGTTCCTCAACCTGACTGAATTCATTGTTCCAGAGAAGTAGACAGGTTTCTTCCTTTGGACCTTAGGCCCTTGGGGGCGGGGGGGGGAGGGGGTTAATACAAGAGAGCATCCAATCCTTTTGCTCACTTAACATCCATAGTTTGAAGAAGGTCTCCAGATAATATATGCAGTGCATTTTAAATGTATAAGACTACCAGGCACAGTTAACCAAGTTCCATTAAGAATGGTCTAAATTCATGCTAGGTTTTTATATATTGTATCATCTCCTAATCACTAGATACAAAAATGTAATTGCTATGAGATGGGCATCATATATATATTTATGCGTTGGTGTGTTTTCTGTGCAGACACAGAGACTCTACTCAGGACTGTGTTTTTCTTATCTTCTCCAGACTGATAGTAATTGCTAATATGCAATCAGGAGTTTAGTTATTTTCACACCTTCCTATTAAGAAGCAGAAAATTCATAAATATTTACCAGATTGTTGCATGTGACATGTAATTTCTTCTCTCCCCATAAATTACAAAATGTTTGGCCTTGTCTAATTATTTTGTCTCCGTTTCCCTTATTCCACTTGTCAAGGAATTTCCCGAGCAGCTTACTATTCTGCCTCCAGGACTTCAGTGTGAGAAGGGAAACTAGAAAATGTGACTTCACGTCCAGTTTACAAGCTTATGTTAAGGAACAGTCTTTCATGGTTAATCACTTGAACCTTTTTGGTTGTGAGAACTCCAGTTAGGAAGTTACCTGCATCAGTCAGCAGCATCTTGGGATGTGGATATTTTATGTAACTTGCTGACTTTCAGACTTGGAGAATCGTTTTCTTTCTCTGTAGTGGGGTTTTGTTGGGGGGAAAAATCAGAGAGGCCAGCAAAGCAGGGCCAGCCATTTTAATTGCTATTTTGTTCATTGTCTTTCCACACTTGTTTCCCCCTCTACTGATGTATTGTTTATGTTTTTTAAAGGGGCCCTTGAAATAGTAGGGAATAAGTAAATGTTTTAGGATAGATCAGAGTGGACAGAAAGAAGAAAACAGAATGAATGACATGCTTGAATCTTCTTTCAGATAATACCAGCTCCTGGGGAACATCTTAACAGGGCTAGGCTCCCAATATGACACATAACTCTTTATTTTCCTTATAAAGTTAAGTGGTCCCTTGCTGCTTCTCCAAATAAAGTAAAATTGCCTCACTTTTAAGAGCGAAAGTCTTCTGTTTTTCAGACTACTCAGAGAATGTGTTCACTAAGTCTAATTTCCCATTTAGGAACCAATAAGGCCAATTTTCATAAATCACACTAGAAAATCAGTGTTTGCTTCATAAAAAGAGCTCCAGTTTCCACAAGTCATGTAAGTAGAGGTGACAGCTGGCAACTCGTCAGTGAGGAGTGGGGATCTCCCGCATCTCCTGTGGGGTTTGAATATTTAACTTTGCCTCCAGTACTTGGCTGTACCTTCCCCTCATTTTATCTCACCCAAACTTTAGGTTCCCTTCTGATAAACTGCATGTGGTGAACTTACATCTTTCCCAATACCGAATATTGTATCCTTTTTGTAACAGAAACACATTTCAGACTTCATAGAGCCAGTTTTCTTTTTTTAATTGTGAAAGGATGTGAGATAGGTCTGAAACTATTCTGCTACCTTTAAGCAGATGGACGGTAAAAGAAGAATAGCAACCACTTAACCTTCCTTATTTCTCCAACAACTCTTCCAATAGTATTTATTTCCCTACTGCTTCAGGAATTGTTTTCTAATGAAGGTTTGTATTCCCTTCAAATACAGAAAATAAATAAAGCTCCACAAAGCAAATAGCAAGAAAAATCACTGCATCTTACCAATAGAAAGAACAACCACAAAAATCTAAGTGCAATGCTTGACTGTGTGGAAAAGGAAAGTGAGCCCAGAGTAGTCTATGTGCCTTCACTAATGTCATACCACCACTTCCTGGACAGGAATGAGAATTAGAATTCTGGTCTCCTGGCACCAGCTTAGAGTTTCTTCTATATAGAATTCACAGTGTTAGTGGTACACCTGGAGGGAGAAATGGGGGAAAGAATGAAGATGGAATATTCTAATAAAGCGTTCCATTCTAATTTGGTCCCTCTCAGAGGAAACTCCGAGGGGCCCTAAGCCTGGAAGGGCAGGAAGTCCTCTTTCCGGAGTCTCTTCCATCGCAGCAAGTGCTGGCTTCAAAAACAACTTACTGTTACATTTGTCTTGAAAGTCTAGTAGTGATGTCATGGCAGACCTTCCCAGCCAACATTTCCTTCAGGGCCACAAGCTTTCTAAAAGTGAAATAAAAACTAAAACGGTATTTTCCTTACAGAGAATGCAAAAAGGAAAGGGGAGGGGTGAAGGGAGAAAGAGGGAATGATATTAGGATAGGTATATGACAATTACAGCCAGTGAATAGATTAAATGGTATTTTATGATTCAATTCACATAGGGTATTTTTAATGGTCTGAGAAATGATCTATGTCATTTTTAAACATTAAAAGTCATCACCAGGTACACAGTAATGAACTTAGAGCAGAGGAAGTACAGGAACCCCGAAGCCAGCACCACAGGACAGAGGGTGTTCCAAATTATATCATTTCATTGCACCACCTTAGAGTGTTTTTACTGTTTTAACTTATATTAGTTATCTTTTCTGTATGCACCATCCCTTGAATTTTATATCAGTTGATTTTACTGACTTAGCTTTAACACATAGACTACAATCTGGAAAATCATTACATATTACTAAATAGCACCATTATTGTGATATTTTCTCACGTTTTATTCAAATTTTAGTTATGGCTTACATTTTTTAATGAATTATGAAGGGCCATTCTCATAAAAAATCAACAGAGTATAATGTTAATTAAAAACAACATTACAAAGAAGATATACCAAAGGCCAACAGGTGCATGAAAAGATGCTCAACATCACTAGTGATCAGGAAAATACAAATTAAAACCACAATGACATGTCACCTCCCCCCTGGTAGAATGGCTATTATCAAAAGAGAAGAGATAAAGGCTAATGTAGATGTGGAGAAAAGGGAACCTTTGTGCACTATTGGTAGGGTTGTAAATTGGTACAGCCACTATGGAAAATAGTATGGAGGACCCTTAAAAAGTTAAAAATAGAACCTATGATCCAAGAATATGATCCTTCCACTTCTAGGAAGATACCTGCACTTCTATGTTCCCAGCAGCATTATCACCAATAACTAAGACTTAAGACAACTTAGGTGTTGACTGATGGATGAAGAGATTTAAAAGTTAAAGATAAATATACAAATATTATTTAGCCATAAAGAAGAGGAAATCCTATCATTTGCAACAACATGGATAGACCTTGAAGACATTACACTAAATGAAATGTTGTGTAGAAAAAGACAAATACTGTATGATCTCACTTATACGTGGAATCTAAAAAAAAGCAAAGCAAACAAATAAACTAGAAAGAGATGAGACTTGTGGTTACCAGAGACAGAGGGTATGGGAGAGGGGGAAAAAGAGAAAAGTGGTGAAAAGATTAAAACTTCCAGTTATAATATAAATAAGCACTGGAAGTATAATGCACAACATGATGGCCATAGCTAACACTGCTGGACAATATATAGGAAAGTTGTTAAGAGAATAAATACTAAGAATTCTCATCACAAGAAAAGTATTTTCCTTTTTCTTCTTTCATTTCTTTTACTAGAAGCCTGGCCTGTGGGGATCAGGGGGTCCCTCGGCCTGGCCTGCGGGGATCGGCAGAAACTGGCTCTCTGACATCCCCCAAGGGATCCAGGACCCCTCCGGTGCATGATCGGGGCTGGGGAGGGACCACGGGAGGGCTCCAAGGTGTGTCTGGCCCTTCTTGCTCAGTCCAGATCTACAGGATCCCAGCAGCAAGCTAAACTACCAGTCAGAGCATCTGCCCCCTGCTGGTCAGTGAGCATCAAGCGACTGGTTGAATGGTCGAACAGTCGGACACTGGCATATTAGGCTTTTATTATATAGGATTATATCTGTATGAGAAAATGGACATTAGTTGAACCTATTGTGGTAATCATTTCACAACAAATGTAAATCGAATGATCATGCTGTGTGCCTTAAATTTATATAAAGATGTATGCCAATTATTTTTCAGTAAAACTGGGATAAAAACCAACTTTACAACATCAACTTTATTACACTAGATGGCAGCAAATAATTAGAAGGGCTAGATAAAATATTTGTGTAAATAAATATTGCAGCACTGGAGTGAGTGGAGAAAGAATGCTAATATTTAAGAAATAAAACTTCCTCCTGAACATTCTTTAAGATGTATCTTTTATTTATTTATTCATTCAGCAAATATTAACAAATTATTAAACAAATACTTAGACCAGTACAAAGTGCTATGGGAGTACTCAGGTACCATACGAGAGCTTAATTTGCTGCTCTTGTATAGGAAAGAACTATGTTTTGGTCTTTGAAGACTCCATGTTTATTACATAACATTGATACACAGTAGGTCCTCAGATTTTACATTCAGTTACTTGCTAGTTTCCAATCATAACATGCACTCTTATACCTCTACAGTTTTGCAAGTGTTGTTCACTATATCTGGAATTATGCCCAACGCCCCAACACACACACACACACACACACACACACACACACACACACATGCGCGCGCGTGCAACCCCTTTTAAGTGCTTTGTCTTTGTCAAGCCTTCAGTGACTGTCATAAGCATATCAGATGCCTTCTCCTATGCCCCCAGCATTCTGAGAATGGCTATGATAGTGGGGGGGGGGTTTCCTGTGTTATATTTATCTCCTTCTCTAGACTATAAGCAGTGTGTCATATTTTTATATAGCCACTACCTAGCAGTTTCTCTTTCAGAGCAGGCCTTCTGTAAAATGTGTTGAATGATTTAGGTGTGTTACAGAAAATCAAGCTTCTCTGTCAGAGGTCTGATCATAAGAAATGTAGGTGTCAATATCATAATTTGGTATGGTAGCATATGGATAAGGCTTGTGAAAGTGGCCAATAAGCCAGAAGTCCCTCCAAGATAGATTCAAGGTTCATGAGAATACATTTTTATATAATGCTAATGAGAAATATGGGGTGAAGGAAGAGAAGCAGAAAAAGAGAAGAATAAGAAGAGGAAGTAAAAAGAGAAGAGGAGGAAAAGGACAGAGAACACTGTGCTGGACACTGTTCTAAGCACCTTATCTCATTAATTCATTATAACAACTCCAGGGTAGATGCTATTAATATTTGCATTTTACAAAATAGGTTTTTAAAATTTGAGAAACTTACTCAAAGTCACAGACAGTAGGTGATGGGGTCTACAATGATTCCATTGACTTTTAGCTTTGTCAGAAAACTACTGTCAGACTAATCAACATTCAATCTACTTATTATACAAACAATATGTAGGTTTTCTTAACGCAGCCTTAAAACTTCTAGTTTACCTATCACATAGCTTTAGGAAAAGGAAAATTCAAGTAAAACACTGTAGAATCACCACTGAGTACATCTAACTTATACTACACTAGAGGACCAGTGCATGGATTCATGTACTGGTGGGGTCCCTCAGCCTGGCCTGCGGGGATCAGGCCAAAACCAGCTCTCCAACATCCCCCAAGGGGTCCCGGATTGCGAGAGGGTGGTTCTTGGGTGATGCACCCCGGAATCCGGCTCCCTCATCTCTGGTTCCGGATGCGTCATCCAAGAATCACAGCTGCCAAGTCACCGCAGCTCAGCAGCTCCTGCATTGAGCGTCTGCCTCCTGGTGGTCATTGTACATCATAGCTACCGGTAGGACGGTAAAATGGTCAGCAGTCGCTTAGATATATATATATATATATATATATATATATATATATATATATGAGAGATATATATTAATAATATATATATATATGTTAGAAATCTTTGCTAAAAATGGTGTGGATTCAGGAATTTGAGTGCTGACAATAGTTGATGGAATTGTGAGCAAAACAACAAAGAAAACCTCTAGAATACATTCATAGATCTCCATCTCTTCTGAGATATTTAATCTTTTTCTCCTACTTCATGTTCCTTAATTCCTATAGCAGACATTAGCCATTGTTTGCCTCCTCTCCCACCACCTCACTCCTGGAATCTGTATCCCCTTCCATCTTTTTGGCTTTTTGTCAACTACCCTGAATCCAAAAGAAAAGAAAAGGAAAAAGAAACTCAGAGGAATCAGAGACAATGCAGTGAGGAAAATGAACAAATAAAGATCATTAATGTCCTGTGAAATTACAGAAGGTAGGGCATCTATGAAGCAAGAACAGGATGTTATAAAAAGGAACATTCAGCTCGAGATGTTAGTTATCTATTGCTGCATGACAAACTACCCCAAAACTTAGCAACTTACAACACACATTTCCTACATCACAGCCTCTGTGGGTCAAAAATCTGGGAATAACTTAGCCAGATGGTTCTGGCTCAAGGTCTCTCATGCGATTTCTGTCAAGCTTTCAGCTGGGATGCAGTTTTCTGAAGACTCAACAAGGACTGGAGAATCCTCATTAAGATGGCTCACTACATAGCTGTTGACAGGAGACCTCAGTTTCTCACTACATGAAACTCTTCATAGCAACATTGTATGTTCTTACAACGTGGCAACTGGTTTCCCCCAGAGCAAATAATCCAGAAGAGGAGAAATAAGACACCGCAGTGTCCTTTATGACCTGGTATCCAAAATTTACAGAGTATCACTTGCAGCCCATACTCAACGCAAGGGTTGTTTAGACTACAAGTTTTGATAGGAGCATCAAAGAATTTATAAACATACTTTAAACCACCACAAAAGAAGAAAAATAGCTGGAGGAAATTATGTATATGATCAAAGCATGACCATCAAAATAAAAAGTCAATAGAAGCATTAAAAGGTAAAGTTGAGAAAAGTTAACAAGAAGAGATGGTTACTATGAGAAGAGTAGTAAGAAAAATAAAGCTGTAATCCAAAAACTCAAATTCTCAGCTAACTGGAATTCCAGGAAAAGAAAATAGAAGGGGGAAAATAATTAAAGGGAAATATTTCCCAGAATCAAAGGACATAAATCTCCAACTTTGTAAAAGCTCCGGTACTGCCTAGTGAAACTTATGAAAAAAATGACCCAAACCAAAACATAATAACACTAGAAATAAAGAGGAGATTCTAGAAGCTTTCGGAGTGGAAAATTATTTCTTTAATTATAAACTTCCAAGAACCACCCATCTGGTATTCAAATTTAACAAAGAAAAATCAACCAAAAAAATGAGTTCGCGTGTCATAGGTTCGCCATCACTGGCCTAGTGAAGTTTAGAAACCTTTGGTATAAAATGTTCTGAGAGGAAAGTGAGATAAACATCTCTAAATTTAAGTATCACCTTTCTTTAAAATTATAAACTTCCAAGAACCACCCATCTGGTATTCAAATTTAATACATTTCGGGGGGGGCTAAATTTCTTTATATCTATTAAGTTCCTCAGGTGTTTTTAAAGATTAGTCAAGTTTAGAAACCTTTGGTATAAAATGTTCTGAGAGGAAAGTGAGATAAACATCTCTAAATTTAAGTATCACCTTTCTTTAAAATCATTGGACATATTTTTTAAATATTCTGCTATAAATAAATCCACTTTTATTTTTCGTGGGTGGCAGAATTATCCTTATCTTATAGAATCATTGTGGAGAGAGGCGAAAAAAAGTTCTAAAGCACATGTAAAATTTCTCTCAGATATATACACAAGGAATGGTAACCTGTTCTCTAGCAGCACCAAAGAATAAAAGGAAATGACTTAAACTACAGCAAAATAGGCTTAGGGTAAGGAAGTTTCCTGACATTGAGATTTGTTCAACACTAACATGGATTTCTAGGGATGCTAGGAAATAGTCATCTTGGGGAGTTTTTAGAAAATGTTTCATGTCTCTGAGTTTAGAGGACAAGCTGAAGGAAAGAAGATGGGGTTGGGAAGACTGAACATGTTTTCATTTAGTAAGTTCTTTTTGAGCTAGTGCTAAGTGCCACCACTGTGGTAGGTGTTGGGTATTTTAAGATAGCATTTTTAAGTTTATTTGATCATGGAAAACTTTGCAAATGAAAGTGTGCGAATAGATATCCATCAAGAGGAACTGCTAAAACAGCATGGATGGACCTGGAGAGCATTTTGCTAAGCAAAATAAGCCAGTCAGAGAAAGATAAATATCACATGATCTCACTCATTTGTGGAATATAATGAACAATGTAAACTGATGAACAAAAACTGAACCAGAGTCATAGAAGCATTGAATAGACTGTCCGACCTATGAGGGAAGGCTGGAGGTGGCGGGGTAAGAGATCAACCAAAGGACTTGTATGCATGCATATGAGCATAACCAATGGACACAGACAGGGGGCGGAAGGGGGGGAGGGCATGTGCTGGGGGTTGCGGGGTGCTGGGGAGAGGTCAATGGGGGAAAAAGGAGACTTATGTAATACATTAAACAATAGAGAACTTAAATTAAAATATATATATGAACAACAAAAAGAGGAACTGTTAATATATAATGCTTATTTGCATAAAAACGAAATATTAAAAAGCCACATATTAATTGCTGCAAGATAATAGCAAATAATATTTATTAACAAAATGCATTAAACTTAGTAAAACAGCTCTCATCTCATTTGTTATAAAATATTAGAGACCCGATGCATGAAATTTGTGCAAGGGGCTTGGCCCTCGCAGCCATGGTGGCTTACCTAGGCCTTCGCAGCCCCGGCTTCGTCCAGAAGGACGTCCAGAAGGTAGTTCGGCTGTCCAGTCTAATTAATATATTATGCTTTTATTATTATAGATTAGAAGCCTGGGCACATAGCTAGGTTCCTTGCCCAGGGTCTTACAAGGCTGCAAACAAGGAATCAGATGAAACAAAGTCCTCTTCCAATCTCATGTGAGTTGTTGGCAGAAGTCAGTTCCTTGAGATTGTATGATAGTAGTCCTTGTTTTCTTGCTACCTGTCAGCCTGAACTGCTCTGATTTCCTAGTGGCTTCCCCTCGATCCTTGTCATAGGGCCTCCGCCTCCCACAACACAGCAGTTTGCTGCATCGTCAAGATCAGCAGGAGAACATCTCTCAGATGCTTTACCTTCCCCTGAAGGACTCACCTAGTTAAGCAGGACTTAACCAGGGACATCTCTCTAACTCAAAGTCAACCAATTAGTAATTTATTCATGGGAATAATACTCCATCATAGGTACTAGTACCACCCACACTCAATAGAAGAGGACTCTACAAGTTGTGTACATCGTGGAGAGGAATCTTGAGGACCATCATAGAATTCAGCTTACCACAGACAGCCAAACCTTCATTTCAAATTCTCAACCTTGTATCACATTAGAATCTCCTGAGGGACTATTAAATCCTATTCTCCAAATTATTGTTTAGTGGTTCTGAGGCCGGGCCTGAGGTGTTTTTATTTTGCTTTTTTATATTTAATCCTCACCCAAGGATATGTTTATTGACTTGAGAGAGAGAGAGAGGAAGAAAGAGAGAGAAACATCGATCAATTGCCTCCCGTACTCTCCCCCACCAGGGATCGAACCCACAATGTAGGTATGTGCCCTGAGTGGGAATCACACCTACAACCTCTCGGTGTACGGGATGATGCTCAAACCAACTGAGCCACCCAGCCAGGGCTTGTTTTTGTTTTACTGGTTTTGCTTTTATGGCTCTCTTGTGTAATTCCCATGTGCAAGCAGGGAAAACCACTGGAATAGAACAAAAACCTTTTTGGATTTTAAGATCTCAGAGAAGTTACTTCCCCGGCACCCTTTCTGAGGAAGTGACTAGAGAAGTACTCCTCTGAAATGAGGAAGTATTCAAGGAAGAGGAAAGCACAGGATCTAGGAAACAAGGTCTCTAAAATAGGAAATGCAGAGGATGATGGGCAGTAGGAGCCCAGAATGTAACCAGACCAGACTGGAGCAGGAGGATGAAGGGCTCTGAGATAAGGTTTCAGAGGATAAAAAAAAAAAGTATAATCAATGGATTATCTAATTATCTAATCAGACATATTGAGGGAAGAGAACAAGTGATATAACAATTGATATGCAATTGGAAAAAAAAGTAAGAATAGTTACATATAAAAACGACATATGTGAAAAATGATGTAATTATTTTCTTCAAGGAAAAGTAAAGCTTTCAAGACAGAAAAGCATGCACTACTTGGCTATGCAGTTAACAATATTAACACAGTAATAATGTAAATATTGATCTTTAACTGCAAATTATAATTATTCTGAGAATATAGGATGAAGGAAAATGTGTCTACATAAAAGAGTTAAATCAAGAAATTGTAAAATAGTGCTATAATACTAAGTCTTGAAATAACAAGAGAGTTTGTGTTTGCCTCTGAAAGTAAGATACAAGGAGTGAGAAACTACCCTATTTAATACAGTATTTTAATTATATCCTAACTCTACCCATATGTTACTGTGTTAAAAGTTAAAAATTAGAGTGCTTACTTCGGCAGCACACATACTAAAATTAGAATGATATAGAGATTAGCATGGCTCCTGTGCAAGGATGACATGCAAACTCATGAAGCATTCCATATTTTTATTTTATTTTATTTTTTGTTAATCCTCATCCAAGGATATTTTTCCATTGATAAGCAGCATGGCTTATAATATGGAAAAACTTTAAATAATCTAATTGTCCATTGACTGGCATATCCTAAATTCATTTGTTTATTAAACAAACTAGAGGCCTGGTGCACAGATTCATGCACACTGAAAGTAAATTAATTAGAAGGTGGCCAGCGGGGCAGGACTGGGCGAGACAGGCTGGACACGCCCTGGAGCCAACCTCCTGCCAACCTGGGGTGGTGCCGGGGCTCAAAGAGCATCAGTGGAGTGAGTGGGGTCCCTCCAGCAGGTGGGGTTCCTTGGCCTGGTCTTCAGGGATTGGGCCGAAACTGGCTCTTTGACATCTCCCGAGGGGTCCTGGAGTAGAAGAGGGCACTCTGCAAAGTTGCTGTCGCTCAGCAGCTCCTACATTGAGCATCTGTCCCCTGATGGTCAGTGCACATCATACCTACTGGCCTGTTGGCTGGTCACTTAACCCTTTGTGGTCCAATTTTATTTTTGGAATTCAAACAGTCTAGTACAAACTAATTGACGGGATTGAATGTTGAACCGGTTTGCGGTCTCAGCCTCAACGTTGGACCTGCTCCTAGCGCCTGGTCTGTCAAGTCAGCCTCCACGTTGGACCAAAAAAGGTTAAGCTTTTATATATGTAGACTAGTGGCCCAGTGCACGAAATTTGTGCACATTAAAAGGGAATTAATTAGAGGAAATATTTTAATATTGCTATTTGCCCTTTCTCTATAATAGAAGTGTCAGAGATGAAAGAAAATTAGTAAAATGTATATGAAAATCTCCCTCCTGTCAGAGTCTGGGGTGCACCGCAGGACCCAGAGTTAAGTCCCTACCCACCTGTGCGCACCTCGAAATCGCAAGAGACCCAGGCCCGGCCGGCCCCACCCCTCTTCAAGCTCCGCCAGGTGGGGGTCACAGCCTCAGGTCCCCCATCAAGCCCTGCTGGCCGGTGGGCCAGTCTCAGGTCCCTTGGCCCAACACCAGGCGCAGGGGTGCCACCTCAGGTCACCTCGCCAGGCCTCAGGTCCCCTGGCCCCAGCACGATGGCACAAGGGTGCAAGGGTGTGATGACCATTTGCATATTAGCTCTTTATTATATGGACTAGAGGCCTGATGCACAAAGATTTGTGCAAGAATGGGTCTTCCTTCCCTGGCTGCCGGCACCACCTTCACTCCAGCCAGAGACACCTTTCCGCCTTCCCATGCTGCCCAGAGGCCTGGAGCAGCTGGGGCAGTGTGGAACACCTGCGTCGTCACCATGGCGACAACGCAAATGTCCCGCCACGCCCCCCGGCTGCTCGGCACCTGCGCGCGTTCACGCTGCCCACAGGCCTACCATCATTGTCAGGTTGACTTGTATACTCACTCCTGATTGGCTGTGGGGCGTCACAAAGGTATGGTCAATTTACATATTTGTCTATTATTAGTGTAGATATTTATTGAATGGCTGCTACGTGCCAAGTGCTGTTCTGAAAACTGGAGAAATAGCAGTTACTAATAGACAAAAATCCTTGTTTTCATGTAGCTTATTCTTATAGAAGGAAACATATCATAAAGAAGTACTTACTATGTTAGATAGTAATAAGAGCTATGGAGAAAAACAAAGGTGAAAAGGGAAAACAGGAGCCCTATGAGAGTGTGGATGTAATTTTTAAAAGGATGGTCAGGAACATCCATACTGACACTTAAAGACTTGAAAGAAGTGGGCAAGCAAAGTAAGAATAGGAGTTGGAGGTGGGGAGAACAGTGTGCCAGACCTTCAAAATAAATAAACTAGGTCAACATAGATAGATTTCAAAAAAGATAATGTTGAGCCCAGCCAGTGTGGCTCAGTGGCTGAGCATCGACCTATGAACCAGGAAGTCATGGTTAGATTCCTGACAGGGCACATGCTTGGGTTGCAGGCTCAGTCCCCAGTAGGGGGCATGCAGGAGGCAGCCAATCAATGGTACTCTCTCCTCATGGATGTTTCTATCTCTCTCTTCTTCCTTCCTCTCTGAAATCAATGAAAATATATTTTTTAAAAGATAACGTTGAGTAAAAATGGCTATAAAGGAAAATGTAGCACATGACACTACTTTAAAAAGTAATTTTATCCCTAGCCTGTTTGGCTCAGTAGATAGAGTGTCGGCCTCGAACTGAGGGGTCCCGGGTTTGATTCCAGTCAAGGGCACATGCCCGGGTTGTGGGCTGGATCCCCAATAGGGAACCTGCAGGAGGCAGCCAATCAATGATTCTCTTTCATCATTGATGTTTCTATCTCTCTCTCCCTTTCCCTTCCTCTCTGAAATCAATAAAAATATATATTTTTTAAAGTAATTTTAGAAGTAGGTAGGTAAAAGTATGAAAAATGCAGGTAAAACTAAGAATAAAAAATATCAAATTAAAAATAGAGGCTGGTTGTGGGAAAGAGGGAATTGGAATGGGGCTTGGGTAGAGGGTCAAATGATATTTCAGTTTTATTGTAATGTTTTATTTATTATATAAAACAATAGATTTCATTCAAGCATAATAAACTGTTAAATAAATATGGGCTAGCATTCGAGATCTTGCTTCCTGGCATATATTGTCAGTTTGGCTCTAATCAACTCTTATAAAAATTTTCTACAGGTTTGGGTGTTTATGTTGAAGAAATTCATCCAGAACCACTCTGTGTACCTGGGCCAGGACTAAGATACAAGGAATGGCCTATTATGCCCCGCCAACTCCCTACTTCCTATCAGGTGAACTGGGGTGAGTTTCTCTTGGAATTTGGGGCCTCCTTGCTTTTAGTAGCAGGCCATGACTTTATTTGAGCTGTTTTTAGAAAATCCTCGGGGTGGATAAGGATTGAGATAACCCAGGGAAAGCAAAGGAGGAGGAGGAGGAGGAGGAGGAGGAGGAGGAGGAGGAGGAGGAATGGGTTGCTGCTCTTAATTTTGGCTTTTTAATTAGATAGCTGAGAATCTGAACAATACCTTTGCTGGTCAAATTTGCTGGTCAAATGAGAGACTGAGCTTTTTTAGCTCTGAAAGAGAAAGGACATTTGCCTCCCCAACCCGAATAGGCAATGGGGTGACAGCAGTGGTTCAGATCCCTGAATCCACAGATGGGCTCCAGGAGTCATCAGTGCAGCAGTGTAGCTGATCCCCGAGAAGCCGAGAAGCCGGTGGGGGGGAGCCCCAGGGAGAAGAGCACAACACCCTAAAACAGGTTCACCTGCAGAGAGGGACCTGAGAAAGGGTTCCATTCCCTGGAAAGCGTCCTGGTTCGGTGGCGACCAGTAAGCTCTCACTGGCCTTTGCTCAAGAATTCTTAGGTAACTAAAAGTCTTTGTGGAGCTGCCTCAGAAACACTTCCTTTAGGGTGTCAAGAAGCCCTAGAAGGATACTCACCAAATTGGCTCATCTGGAGATATGGACATAGAGCTGGTTTTCCCTAGAAGTTTTTTTCAGTCTCGACAGATCTCATAAATACCATGAGAAATTGTGCCTCTGAGGCCAATAAGCCTAACGACAATCAGCCTTCCATTAGTACTAAGATGGCCAGATGAGGATCCTTTGATACTTTTAAATTAATCTTATGGTCCAACAGGTATGGCTCTGCGGTTGAGCGTGGACTCATGTACCAAGAGGTTGCTGGTTCAATTCTTGGTCAGGACACTTGACCAGGGTGGGGGCTTGATCCCCAGTAGGGAGTATGCAGGAGATAGGCTGTCAATGTTTCTCTCTCATTGATGTTTTTATCTCTCTCTCTCCCTTCTCCCTTTTCCTTCCTCTCTCTCTCTCTCTCTCTCTCTCTCTCTAAAAATCAATAACAACATATTTTTAAAAATTAATCTTTTGCATGCATAGTTACAAAAGCTGTCTATAAATTAGGCTGAAAGAATGGAAAGCATATTAATTGGTCTCTCAAATCTTTAAAAAGAGGATTTAGATAAATGGAGCAACCTATGATGTCCTATAGGTGTCATCCCAATTTTTTAGGTTATTAATAATGGCGGTCCTTATTTTTACTTGACTTATCAAGGATATATACAGATTGCAATGCCTCCAAAACAAATATGGATCCAATTATTCTGTTTGTGTGTGTCTATGTATGCATGTATGATGTAAATGTTAGATAATTTTATGCCACTGGATGCTATTATTAAAATCAATTTAAAGGCAAGTGCTTGCAAGGATTGAAAAAAATAAACTAACTCATGCTTTTCAAGTTCACATGATCTAAAGTTAATCCTTAGTAAATAAAACCTAGTTTAAGTTTGCTGGTTTAAGTAAAAGACCTGTCTTTATTTTGCCTTTTATAAAAATAAGTTCATGTTAATAATTGACTTTTATGTCTATGAAATATGTTTCTAGAGGTTGTAAAATATCTTCATAGCTTAGCTGGTGTGGCTCAGTGGTTGAGTGTTGACTCAGGAACCAAGAGGTCACCGGTTTGATTCTTGGACGGGACACATGCCTGGGTTGCTGGCTTGATCCCCAGTAGGGGGCGTGCAGGAGGCAGTTTATCAATGTTTCTCATAGATGTATCTATCTTTCTATCCTTCTCCCTTCCTCTCTTTCTAAAAATCAATAAAAATATATTTAAAAATAACTAAAATGTCTTCATAAAATTTCTAAAGAATGCAAATTGCTTACTTCTCAGTTTTCATTAGAAATTGAGGTTTTAAGGGTTAAACATCTCATTATATGTAGGATCAACTTTGAGGTGCTTCTGGTGTTTTAACGGTTAAAAACATCTCTATATGTAGAGCCCCTGGAACACCTCAAAAGATTTGAAATTGCATAGGAAACATTGTAAAATAAGTGATAAGCCCTGGCCAGGTGGCTCAGTTGGTTGGAGCATCGTTCCATGCACCAAAAAGTTGCAGGTTCAATCCCCAGTCAAGGCACATACTTGGATTTTGGGTCCCATGCCCAGTTGGGGTGAGAACGGGAGACACCAATTGATATTTCTCTTTCACATTGATGTCTCTC